TATTTTTTGTTAGGATTTATCATTGGGCAAGTGGGAAATATTAAGGATTCTGATGTGTATGTCAAGTGGTTTCCAGAAAAGCTGAATTGTTTACTTTCCTCCCATCAATTTATTAACGTCTCCATTTCACCAACTTCTAACTGACTTTATTTTTTCTTTCTTTTGAGACAGGGTCGCCCTCTCTCACTCAGATTGGGAGTGCAGTGTCACAATCATAGCTCACTACAGCTCCACTTCTTCTGGCGCAAGTGACCTCCCTCTTCAGCCTCCCGAGTAGCTGGGACTACAGGGAGATGCCACCATGCCTGGCTAGTTTTAAATTTTTTGTAGAGATGAGGTCCCACTATGTTGCCTGGACTGGCCTCGAACTTCTGGCTTCAAGAGATCCTTCCAAAGTACTGGGATCACAAGCGTTTGTCCTGGCTCTTATCCGAGATAGCTGGACCCCAGTCTCACCCCACCCCACACCCCGGGTAAGTTTTCTTAAAAAAGGTGGTGTGTGTGTGTGTGTGGTGTGTGTATGTGTGTGTGTGTGTGTGTTGTTTGTTCTGCTGATTTTTCAGAGAAAAATGCATTCTCATTACTTGAATACACATTTCTTTGATGTCTCTGGAGGACTGGGGCATTCATCCACTTGGATAAAATAGACCCTGAGCATTTTCGTTTCTAAGAATTGGTGCTGGCTGGCGGCTGGTGGCTCCAAGCCTGTAATCCTAGTACTTTGGGAGGCCGAGGAATGGGCGGATCACGGAGGTCAGGAGATTGAGACCATCCTGGCTAACACGGTGGAAACCCCGTTTCTACTAAACATTACAAAAAAACTAGCCGGGCGAGGTGGCGGGCGCCTGTAGGTCCCAGCTACTCAGGAGGCTGAGGCAGGAAGAATGGCGTAAGCCCAGGAGGCGGAGCTGCAGTGAGCCGAGATCTGGCCACTGCACTCCAGCCTGGGCGACAGAGCGAGACTCTGTCTCAAAAAAAAAAAAAAAAAAGAATTTGGTGCTTTGGAATCTTTGCCCATTTATTTCTTAGTGCCTTCCTATTTTTCTTATAAACTTGATTTTTGTACATTTATTTTCCCCAAATTTCCATTGGCAATACTGGACAAATGTCTTTTTTTTTTTTTTTTTTTGAGATGGAGTCTAGGCTCTGTTGTCCAGGCTAGAGTTCTGTGGCGTGATCTTGGCTCACTGTAACCTCTGCCTCCCAGGTTCAAGTGATTCTCCTTCAAGCCCTCCTGAGATAGCTTTCATTTTCCCTTTGTGATTCTGTCATTGCTTTTAAATACAGACCATGCCCTTCCAGAGATGTGGTGTCACTTTTACTTTCTTTTAGCATTTTTTATTATTTACTTTCTTTTCTTTTTCTAAAAACATATTTTAAATCTCTATAGGGCAAACAATGTTCAAATAAAATATAATACAAGTCACAAATATGATCCATATATGTAATTTTATTTTATTTATTATTATTATTTTTTGAGACCGAATCTCACTCTGTCACCCAGGCTGGAGTGCAGTGGCGTGATCTCATCTCACTGTAACCCCCGCCTCTGCCTCCTGGGTTCAAGTGATTCTCCTGTCTCAGTCTCCCGAGTAGCTGGGATCATATGCGCACACCATCATGCCTGGCAAATTTTTGTGTTTTTAGTAGAGACGGGGTTTTACTATGTTACCCAGGCTGGTCTCAAACTCCTGGGCTCAAGGAATCCGCCCGCCTCAGCCTCTCAAAGTGCTGGGATTACAGGTGTGAGCCACCATGCCCAGCCTATACATGTAATTTTAAATCTTTCCAAAACTTTTTCTTTTTTTTTTTTTAAGACAGATTCTTGCTCTGTCACCCAGGCTGGAGCGCAGTGGCACAATCTCGGCTCACTGCAAGCTCCGCCATTCGGGTTCATGCCATTCTCCTCCCTCAGCCTCCTGAGTAGCTGGAACTACAGATGCCCGCCACCACACCCAGCTAATTTTTTTGTATTCTTAGTAGAGACGGGGTTTCACCATGTTCACCAGGATGGTCTCCATCTCCTGACCTCGTGATCTGCCCGCCTGGGCCTCCCAGAGTGCTGGGATTACAGGCGTGAGCCCCCGCGCCCGGCCTTTTTTTTTTTTTTTTTTTTCTTTTTTTTTTTGAGATGGAGTTTCGCTTTGTTTCCCAGGCTGGAATGTGACCGCGCGATCTCAGATCACCGGAACCTCCGCCTCCCGGGTTCAAGCAATTCTCCTACCTCACCCTACTGAGTAGCTGGGATTACAGACGTGCACCACCATGCCCAGGTAATCTTTGTAGTTTTAGTAGAGACAGGGTTTCGCCATGTTGGCCAGGCTGGTCTCGAACTCCTAACCTCAGGTGATCCACTTCGGCCTTCCAAAGTGCTGGAATTACAGACGTGAGCCACCGCGCCCAGCCCCAGTGGCTACATTTTTTTTTTAAAGTAAAAAGGATAGGTAGGAGCACAGAGGATTTTTAGGGCAGTGAAACTATTCTGCATGATACCACAAGGGTGGACACATGTCATTATACATTTGTCAAAACCCACAGAATATCCAACACCAAGAGCGAGCCCTAATGTAAACTAGGAACTTTGGGTGATATTTGCGTGTCAGTGTAGGCTCATCAATTTCAGCAAATAGATCTCTCTGGAACCAGAGGTTGTGTATGTATGGGCAGAGCAGATATGTGGGAACTCTGTACTTTCTGCCCAGTTTTGATGTGAACTTAAAACTGTCCTAAAAAAATAACAATTTAGCTGGGCGCAGTGGCTCATGCCTGTAATCCCAGGACTTTAGGAGGCTGAGGCGGGAGGATCACTTGAGCTCAGGAGTTTGAGACCAGCCTGGGCAGCATGGCAAAACCACGTTTTGTATTTTTCTACAAAAAAAAAAAACCAAAATTAGCTGGATGTGGTGACGCACACTTGCTGTCCCTGCTACTGCGGAGGCTGAGGTGGGAGCATTGCTTGAACCTTGGGGGTGGGGGGCAGTGGAGGGTGCAGTGAGTGGAGATTTTGCCACTGCACTCTAGCCTGGGTGACAGTGAGACCCTGTCTTAAAAAAAGAAAAAAAAATTATTATTAAAAATAATTCAAAATTATTAAAACATCAAAAGAAACAGGTGAAAGTAATTTTAATAACATATTTTATTGTCCCAATATATTCAAAAATATCATTTAATATATAATCATTTATATAAAATTAATTACTGAGGCTAGGAGCAGGGGCACACACCTGTAATCCCAGCAATTTGGGAGGCTGAGGCAGATGGATGGCTTGAGCTCAGGAGTTTGAGACCAGCCTGGCTAACATGGCAAAAACCTATGTCTATAAAAAACAAAAACAAAAATTAGCTGGGTGTGGTGGGGTGAGACTGTAGTCCCAGCTACTCAGTAGGCTGAGGTGGGGGCATCACTTGAGCCCGTGAGGTCAAGGCTGCAGTGAGCCATGATTGCATCACTGCACTCCAACCTGGGTGACGGAGTGAGATGCTGTCTCAATACACAAATAAATAAAATTAGTTAATGAAACATTTTACTTTTTCTGGTACTAAGCCATCAAAATTTGGTTTTTATTTTACAATTGCAGCATGTCTCCATGCTTGCTATGACAAGCCACATTGTCACGGCTCAAAAGCTTCTGTGGCTCATGGCCACTGGGTTCGTCCTCTCAGGACTAGAGCTTGGTTTGAATCCATGGGAGGACAGACGGAACAGGGTCTTGTGGCCTGTTTTACTCTCTCCTTCATCTTCACGTCCCCTCTACTCCTCTCTTGAAAATTCACACCCAGCCAACTTCTGTTTTCTCTTTTTGAGACAGAATCTGGCTCTGTCGCCCAGGCTGGAATGCAGTGGCGCTATCTCGGCTCATTGCAGCCTCAACCTCCCAGGTTCAAGTGATTCTTGTGCCTCAGCCTCTCGAGTAGCTGGGACTACAGGCGCAGACCACCACGCCCAGCTAATTTTTGTATTTATTAGTAGAGACAGTGTTTCACTATGTTGGCCAGGATGGTCTCAAACTCCTGACCTCAAGTGATCCGCCTGCCTCAGCCTCCCAAAGTGCCAGGTGCCAGGATTACAAGCATGAGCCACTGCGCCCAGCTGAACTTTTTTCTTGCTTTTCCTGGTGATCTCCACCTGGCTCTCTTGTGTCAGCCAGAGTGGCCTCTTGGCTTTCCGCCCCCTCTGTCACTCTGCCCAGGGCTTCCATTGGTCCTCAGCTGGCACCTTGCATGCCTCCGCCTTCAGACTGTGGCTCTCACCCAGGAGCTCCGCACCTGGGACATCCCAGTATCTCCACCCCTGCGGCTCCCAGCTGTGGTGACAGCCTGAGTAATAACACAATTCTGAAATATATTCCTACCAGCCAGCACTTAGTAGGCAACGCCAGGCCTTCTGCTGACCCGGGGTACATCCTCTTATCCTTCCAACCGTCTCGAGGGCAGGAACCATTTTGCACATAAGGCTGTCCTATCAGTCAGTGAACACTGACAGGTCCCAGGCTGTGTTCAAGGCAGGGGAAGGAGCTTGGGGGTCCTTAGACAAAAGCCCTGGGGGTCCTAGAGAGTTGAGCCAGGTTTATTAAAAATTCCTCCATGTTGGCCAGGTGTGGTGGTTCACATGCCTAATCCCAGCACTTTGGGTGGCGGAGGTGGGAGGATTGCTTGAGGCCAGGAGTTCCAGATCAGCCTGGTCAGCATAGCAAAACCCCGTCTCTATTTAATTCAAAATAAGAAAAAAAATGTTTTTTTTTTTAAATTTCCTCCATTTTGCTGGAAAGAGGATCTCAGGATCTTTCCTGCCACCTGCGAACAGGCGGGAGCCCCCGCAGTAAGGAGGCCTGGAGGTGGGGGCCTCCAGCTGCCCCAGGTCATTCTCCGGGCAGGTCACCTCCCTGTCCCAGGTAGGGTGCGCTTGGTGACCACAGCAAAAAATCCTCGAGGGGAGGAGAGAACTGGGCGGGGCGGGGCAGGACCAGCGCCTCTCCCGTCGGGGCGGGACCAACATCTGGCCCAGCAGGCACAACCAGGCGGCAGCGGATACCAGGCGGCGGCGGGCAGACCTGCGCCCGCGGGCACCATGAGCGGCCGAGTCGGGGACCTGAGCCCCCAGCGGCAGGAGGCGCTGGCCAGGGTGAGGGGCATCGCGGGCTGGGAGGCTTGGGGAGGGGCCCTGTGCAGCCTGGCGCTGCCCAACTCGGCTGGAGCCCCCATGGTAAGAGCTGGAACACCGAGCCTGGAGAGAGCGCCGCTGTTCTGCCCTCCGGTCCTGAGTGCGGTTGCTGAGGCCGCTACGCGCAGCACGCGGGACAGGAGTCTCTCTCTGGGTGATCTGGGGCCGAATCCAGTCTTCTGACCTTGCTTGCTCTCCACCACCCGGCCCTGGTCCTTGTTCCCGGGTTGTGGGGGAGGGATTGGCGCTGCCATCCGGCTGCTGGGGCAGCCTTGGGTAGACAGACTCCTTTTCATGCTCAGGTTGCAACATTTGTTTGTTTGGTTTCTCTTTGTGATTTGTTCACAGGGCCCAAACTTCCCTATCTGTAATCTTTTTTTTTTTTTTTTTCCCCGAGATGGAGTCTTGCTCTGTCCTCCAGGCCGGAGTGTAATGACACAATCTCTGCTCACTGCAACCTCCGCCTCCTGAGTTCAAGCGATTCCCCTGCCTCAGCCTCCCAAGTAGCTGGGGCTACAGGTGCCCGCCACCACACCCGACTAATTTTTGTATTTTTAGTAGAGATGGGGTTTCACCATATTGGCCAGGCTGGTCTCAAACTCCTGACCTTATGATCCACCCGCTTTGGCCTCCCAAAGTGCTGGGATTACAGGTGTGAGCTACTGCGCCTGGCCTCATATTTCTAATCCCAAATTTGGATTCACAGATTCACCTTCAAACCCAGCTCTTGCCTTCAGCTCTGTTAGTCCCCAGGGAAGTGAGATCGCCTCTCTTTCTCAGACCCAAGCCTCAGTCTCAGACCCAAACTCTAAATGACATCCTTCAACTCTGCCAGTAGGAAAAGGCACGCTTACTCCCCGACAGCCCCAACAGATGTCCTGATAAGGCATTCGTGGCTTCTCTTTCAGCCCCTGTCTGTTGATCTCTGCCTCTGTTTTTTTCCCACACAGCCTCCACCGTCTGGGGCATCAGGCAATCCACGCTGGCTGAGTGCTCACATTTATCTGACACCTGCTTGGAGCCAAGCCTGCTAAGTGTTTTACATGCACAAACTCCTTTGGTTGGCACAAGTTTATTATTATCCCCATTTCACAGATAAGGAAACTAAGGCTCAGAGAGGTTTGGTAACTTGCCTCTAAATCTAAACCCTTAAGATGCAGTATCAGGGATAACATTCCTAAAACCCTCTAGCTGGCCTGCAGCAGAATCTCCCAGGGATACTTGAAAAAATAAGGCTGTCAGTCGGGTGCGGTGGCTCATGCCTGTGATGACAGCACTTTGGGATGCCAAAGTGGGCAGATTGAGCCAAGGAGTTTGAGACCAGTCTGGGCAACATGGCAAGACCCCATCTCTACAAAAAGTACAACAATTAGCTGGGCATCTTGTGTGCCTGTGGTCCCAGCTACTTGGGAGTCTAGGCTGGGAGGATCTATTGAGCCCGGGAGGCGGAGGTTGTAGTGAGCCAAGATCACGCAACTACACTCCAGCTTGGGCAACAGAGTGAGATCCTGTCTCAATAATAATAATAGTAATAGTAAAATAATTAAAATCATAATAAAATAAAAATTAAAAATAAGGATGCCAGGGCCCCACCTTAGACAGGTAGAATGGGAGTCCTGTGTGTAGGGCACCCCCAAATTTTGGGAAGGACCCAACTCTTTTTCCTATGTTGGGCTGGAGGGTTCCCTGTTTTCAGATGGCAGAGTTGTTCAGGGCAGCACCCTGCATGGTCTCCAGGTGGAGTTGACTGGTGGATGAAGTGGGAAGGGTTAGGGGTGGGGTTGGTGGCCCCCAAGGTCATGAGAGTTCCGCTGACCATCAGCTCCTCCCCCGCTCAGTTCCGGGAGAACCTCCAGAACCTGCTTCCCATGCTGCCCAATGCTGATGACTACTTCCTCCTACGCTGGCTGCTAGGTGAGGCTTGCAGGGGCCAGGGGAGGCGGAGAGGGAGGGAAGGAAGGAAGGAGGGTCTCAGGAGAGGAGTGGGAGGCTTTGGGGAACGAAGCTGTAGAGTAGTAAAGAACACAAGCTTGCCGGGCGCGGTGGCTCACGCCTGTAATCCCAGCACTTTGGGAGGCTGAGGTAGGTTGATCACCTGAGGTCGGGAGTTCGAGATCAGCCTGACCAACGTGGGGAAACCCTGTCTCTACTAAAAATACAAAATTAGCCGGTGTGGTGGCACATGCCTGTAATCGCAGCTACTCAGGAAGCTGAAGCAGGAAAATTGCTTGAACCCGGGAGGCGGAGGTTGCAGTGAACTGAGATCCTGCTATTGCACTCCAGCCTGGGCATCAAGAGTGAAGCTCTGTCTCAAAAAAAAAGAACACAGGCTCTGGAATCAGCCTGCTCTGACTGGAATCTGAGCTCCCCTGTGTTTGAGCACAGCACAAAACCCCACAGAGCCTCAGTTTCTTCATCTGTCAAGAAAAGATGAGGCAACAGGTGGGCACAGCGCCGGGGTGAGGTTACAGTTAACAACCAGGACATCCTTAGGACTTAACTGGCCTCTGGCCTGGCCAGCCCTTGGGGCAGATATTGCGAAGCACTGTCTTCAGTACTTGCCTTTGGGTCTACCTCCAGTTCCCCGAGGACAGGGCTCTGTTGTCCCCTAAAGGAACCGAGGTGCCCTAGTGCACTGAGCAGGTGCCCAGCAAACACTTAAGGAATTGGATTTAGTGAAGGGTAGAGAAACAGTTTCTTCTAGGAATTACAGCAGCAATCTAAAAAAATAACAAGCCAGATGCGATGGCTCACGCCTATAGTCCCAGTGCTTTGGGAGGCTGAGGCGGGCAGATTGCTTGACCTCAGGAGTTCAAGACCATCCTGGGAAACATGGCAAAACCTCATCTCTACAAAACATACAAAACTTAGCTGGGTGTACTGCTGAGCACCTGTAATCCCAGCTACTCAGGAGGCTGAAGTGAGAGGATCACTTGAGCCCGGGAGGTGGAGGATGCAGTGAGCTAAGCTTGCACCACTGTACTCCAGCCTGGGCAACAGAGTGAAACCCCATCTCAAAATACTAATGATAGTAACAGACACTGCCCCAGGGCTTAGGGAAAAATTCATCTTAACTCATTACGCCTCATGGAATGGATTTTGAACTTGAGATGGGTGAGAAGTCAGGAGTCAGCCCAGAAAGCATACAGTGCAGGGTTTAAAACGCTGGCTTTGGAATGGGGCAGAGCTGCGACTGAGTTCCAGAGCTAGCAGTGTGCCCGTGGCAAGCCATTCACTGTCTCAACCTCACTTTCCTCTTCTGTGTAATGGACATAATACTGGTCCGTACCTTCAGGGTGCTGTGAGTCAAATGAGGTCGCAGTGGCACACAGCGCCTGAGAAAAGGAAGTCCCTACCAGGGACTAATTCTTCCTCTGAATTTTTCTGTCTGTTTTTTTTTTTTTCCAATATTTTGGCCAGGCCCTGTGACTCATGCCTGTAATCCCAGCAGTTTGGGAGGCTGACAGGGGCGGACCACTTGAGGCCAGGAGTTTGAGACCAGCCTGGCCAACATAGCGAAACCTCATCTCTACAAAAATACAAAAATTAGCCAGGTGTGGTGGCATGTGCCTGTAGTTGCAGTTACTCAGGAGGCTGAGGCATGAGAATCACTTGAACCCAGGAGGCGGAGGTTGCAGTGAGCCGAGATCATGCCATTGCACTCCAGCCTGGGCAACAGAGCGAGACTCTGTCTTAAAAAAATATATCTCTCTGTGTGTGTGTGTGTGTGTGTACATATATATATAAAAACTTTAATTTTTAGAATAGTTTTAGATTTTCAGAAAATTGCAAATATAGTGCAAAAAGTTCCCACATACTCTGCCCCTAGTTTTCCTTATTATTAACGTCCTCTTCTTATGATGATGATGGTACATTTGTTAGAATTAATAAACCAATATGGATACATTATTATTAACTACAGTTCACATTATTATTAACTACATACATTATTATTAACTACAGTTCAAATCCAAATTAGTTGGATTTCCTTCATTTTTCTCTTCCAGGATCCCATCCAGGATCCCACATTATATTTAGTTGTCTTGCCCTCCTTAAGGCCCCTTGGCTGTGGCACTTGCTATTTGTTTTTGACAAAGGAATATGTCACTGCCCCCAGCCTGGACTAAAGAAGGAGTTGGGACAGTTGATTTCTTGAAGCCCCTTGATACAGCATCAGCCCTGTCTCCTCCTTTAGAGTCTTTTTGGGTTTAAAACCCAGCTTTGGGGGTGCTTGGTGTGTCCTTGATAAAGGAGTGGGATTGCAGGTACCTAGGCTTCCAGGTCATAGGAAAGAAAAAGGATCCAAGATCGGGAAGGGGGCTGGGTATCCTGATGCCTCCCACCTCATGCCATGGGTGACAGGACCTGCTGGCATGGCCCCGTCGTCCACTGCAGCATCAGTTCCACTACTCCCGGCCTCACTAACCCAAGACCCAGGCAAACGGGAGGGCTACTCCTGAGGCTGAGCTTGGCAGAGGACCCTCTCCCAGGCCTCATGCTGAGGGGCTTTTCCCAACCCTCCTTCTGAAGTTCTTTTCCTTTGTTTTTATTTTTTTTTATTTTCATTTTTTGTAGACACAGGGTCATAGGGGCTCACTACATTGCCCAGGCTGGTCTCGAACCCCTGGACCCAAAATGATCCTCCTGCCTCAGCCTCTCAAAGTGTGGGGATTACAGGCATGAGCCACTCTGCCTGACCCCCTCTGTTTTTCCTTATCTTCATCCCACATCTGTCTGTCAGTTCCATTAGTTTCATCTGATGCCAGTTCCATCAAGGCAGGGATTTGCCTGCCCTGATCCCCTCCGCCTGGCACATAGTAGGTGCTACTTAAAAAAAGAAAAAATCTGTCCTCATATCCCATGAGCATTGCCCAAACCACTGTATATAGGACAAGAAACCACACTCTGGTTCCTAATTGAAAAATTTCCTATAGCTAGGCACGGTGGCTCGCTCCTGTAATCCTGGGATTTTGGGAATCTGAGGCAGGAGGATTGCTTGACCCAGGAGTTCAAGACCAGTCTGGGCAACATGATGAAACCACATCTCTACAAAAAATTCAAAAATAAGCCAGGCGTGTTGGTGCATGCTTGTAGTTCCAGCTATTCGGGAGGCTGAGGTAGGAGGATGGCTTGTCTCAAAGAACAAACAAACAACAAAACAGAAAATCACCTATAAATTGATTCTTTTTTAGGCCTATAAGAGAAGATTATGAACAAATATGCACTAATAAATTTGAAAATCCAAGTGAAGAAAGACACATTCCTAGAAAATAATATATAAGACCAAAATCCAGCAAGAAGAAATAGAAAATGTCATCAGACCAATAAATATTAGAGAAATCTAAATGGCAGCAAAATCTTCCCCTCCCCCAAAACTCAGACTCCAGTGGTTCTACAGATGAATTCCTCCGAAGTTTTAAGACCAGCTGTCCGGGCGCGGTGGCTCACACCTGTAATCCCAGCACTTTGGGAGGCCGAGATGGGTGCATCACCTGGGGTCGGGAGTTCGAGAAAAGCCCGACCAACATGGAGAAACCCTGTCTCTACTGAAAATACAAAAATTAGCCAGGCGTAGTGGGCACCTGCAATCCCGGCTACTCGGGAGGCTGAGGCAGGAGAATTGCTTGAACCTAGGAGGTAGATGTAGCAGTAAGCCGAGATTGTACCATCACACTCCAGACTGGGCAACAGAGAGAGACTGCATCTCAAAAAACAAACAAACAAAAACAGTTAATTTCTAGCTCATACAAATTGTTTAAGAACCTATGAGAGAGTGAAAGTTACCTTATAAGGTTTGAGTAAATTTTATTTCAAAGCTAGATCAGTACAATTTTTAAAATTTCATTTTATTATTATCATTTTTTTGAGACAGAGTCTTGCTTTATTGCTAAGGATGGAGTGCAGTGGTGAAATTTTGGCTCACTGGAAACTCCACCTCCTGTGTTCAAGTGATTCTCGTGCCTCAGCCTCCTGACAAGCTGGGATTACAGGCATGAGCCACCACACTCGGCTAATTTTTTGTATTTTTAGTAGAGATAGGGTTTCACCATGTTGGCCAAGCTGGTCTTGAACTCCTGACCTCAAGTGATCTGCTTGCCTTGGCCTCCCAAAGTGCTGAGATTACAGGCAGGAGCCACTATGCCCGGCAAATACAAGTTTTTAAAAAAGAAAATTCTCAGCCTATTTTACTTATGAATGTAGATATAAAGAAGTCTAAATCAGGCCAGGCGTGGTGGCTAACACCTGTAATCCCAGCACTTTGGGAGGCCGAGGCAGGTGGACCACCTGAGGTCAGAAGTTCCAGACCAGCCTGACCAACATGGTGAAACCCCATCAATTAAAAAAAAAAAAAAAAAAGGTAGTCTAAATCAATATTATGTAGTAGAATCCAATAAGACATTAAAATTATGCAGCGTGACTGGCTGGGTGCGGTGGCTCACACCTGTCATCCCAGCACTTTGGGAGGCCGAGGCAGGCAAATCACGAGGTCAGGAGATCAAGATCGTCCTGGCTAACAGGGTAAAACCCCGTCTCTACTGAAAATATAAAAACATGAGCTGGGCGTGGTGGTGGGCGCCTGTAGTCCCAGCTACTCAGGAGGCTGAGGCAGGAGAATGGCTTGAACCTGGGAGGTAGAGCTTACAGTGAGCCGAGATTGCACCACTGCACTCCAGCCTGTGCGACAGAGCGAGACTCCTTCTAAAAAAAAAAAATTACGCAGCGTGACCTAGGGAAGTTTATCTTAGGTGTGCAAGAATACTTCAACAACAGAATATCTATCAGTATCATTGAAAACATTAATGAGTGCTAGAAATGAGAAATTATGCGGCTATCTCAATTAATGCAGATAGAGCATTTGAAAAGGTTCAAATCCTTCTTATAAGACAGAACAAAAGTCTTACCAATCTAGGGATAGAAGAGAGTTTCCTTTACTTGATAATGGTTATATAGCAAAAATCCTCTGACAAATGTTAACACTTATTAGAGGATTTTAGATGCATTTTCTTTAAGATCAGGAACAAGGAAAGAATAACAATATCAATCAACATTACTGTTTAAATGTAGAACTGGAGACCTTTGCCAATGTTATAAGAAAAGAAAAAAATAATAATTGGTGTAAAGACTAGAAGGAAGGAGTTAAAATATTTGCAGAGAAATTGCTTGTCTCCTTTGAAAATCAACTGAATCAACAGAAAACCTCTAGAACTCAAGAGAAAATTCAGCAATATTGCCAGATATAAAAATCAGTAGCGGTCAGGGCATGGTGGCTCGCACCTGTAATCCCAGCACTTTGGGAGGCCAAGGCAGGCAGATCGCTTGAAGTTAGGAGTTCAAGACCAGCCTGGCCAATAAAAATACAAAATTTAGCCAGGCATGGTGGTGCGTGCCTGTAGTCCCAGCTGCTCAGGAGGCTGAGGCATGAGAATTACTTGAACCCAGGAGGCGGAGGTTGCAGTGAGCTGAGACCTGCACTCCAGTCTGAGTGACAGAGTAAGACTCTGTCTCAAAAAAAAAAAAAAAAGATAATGAAAAGTCAGATACAATTCAAAACAGCAACAAAGTCCATAAAATACCCAGGAGTTTAACCTATAACACAAAAGACCTGTACAGCAAAAATCATAAAATCTCTGAAGTATATAGAACTGCCCTGTTCAGTGTGATAACCTGGAGCCACATGTAACTGTAACGATTCAATTAAATTAAAACTCCAGGTCCTCAATCACACTTGCCATGTTTCAACTGCTCCGTAGCCTCAGGCAGCTAGCGGCTACCTTAATGAGCAGCTCAGGTATAGGATATTTCCATCATCACAGAACATTCTCTTTAATAGAATTGACACAGAAGGTGATTTTAATAACTACATAGCCCAGAGCAAAGATCGGGCAGGTGAACTTGGTGGCTTATCTTCAAATATTTGCAGAATTGGCACACTGACAAGGGATTACATCTATTTGTTTGACCTCTGATGATGCGGCTGGAATCATCACAGGGCAGGTTTGGGTTCAGTCAAAGCTGCTGAAGAATGGAATGGTAATGCCTTCTGTGGTAATGAACTCCCCATCGTGGGAGATAATCAAGGCTGAGCTGTTGCATTGGGGGTTCTTTTCTTTTCTTCTCTTCTCTTCTCTTCTCTTTTCTTTTCTTTTCTTTTCTTTTCTTTTTTTCTTTTTTTAAGACAAGGTCCCACTCTGTCGCCCAGGCTGGAGTGCAGTGGTGCGACCTTGGCTTACTGCAGCCCCCTCCTCCTGGGTTCAAGTGATTCTCGTGCCTCAGCCTTCCGAGTAGCTGGGACTACAGGTGTGCACCACCACGACTGGCTAAGTTTTGTGGGTTTTGTTGTTGTTGTTGTTGTTTGAGACAAAGTCTTGCTCTTGTCCCCCAGGCTGGAGTGCAATGTCACGATCTCAACTCACTGCAAACTTTGCCTCCCGGGTTCAAGCGATTCTCCCTACCTCAGCCTCCTGAGTAGCTGGGATTACAGGCACCTGCCACCATGCTCGGCTAATTTTTTGTATTTTTAGTAGAGATTATAGGACAAGAAACCACACTCTGGTTCCTAATTGAAAAATTTCCTATAGCTAGGCACGGTGGCTCGCTCCTGTAATCCTGGGATTTTGGGAATCTGAGGCAGGAGGATTGCTTGACCCAGGAGTTCAAGACCAGTCTGGGCAACATGATGAAACCACATCTCTACAAAAAATTCAAAAATAAGCCAGGCGTGTTGGTGCATGCTTGTAGTTCCAGCTATTCGGGAGGCTGAGGTAGGAGGATGGCTTGTCTCAAAGAACAAACAAACAACAAAACAGAAAATCACCTATAAATTGATTCTTTTTTAGGCCTATAAGAGAAGATTATGAACAAATATGCACTAATAAATTTGAAAATCCAAGTGAAGAAAGACACATTCCTAGAAAATAATATATAAGACCAAAATCCAGCAAGAAGAAATAGAAAATGTCATCAGACCAATAAATATTAGAGAAATCTAAATGGCAGCAAAATCTTCCCCTCCCCCAAAACTCAGACTCCAGTGGTTCTACAGATGAATTCCTCCGAAGTTTTAAGACCAGCTGTCCGGGCGCGGTGGCTCACACCTGTAATCCCAGCACTTTGGGAGGCCGAGATGGGTGCATCACCTGGGGTCGGGAGTTCGAGAAAAGCCCGACCAACATGGAGAAACCCTGTCTCTACTGAAAATACAAAAATTAGCCAGGCGTAGTGGGCACCTGCAATCCCGGCTACTCGGGAGGCTGAGGCAGGAGAATTGCTTGAACCTAGGAGGTAGATGTAGCAGTAAGCCGAGATTGTACCATCACACTCCAGACTGGGCAACAGAGAGAGACTGCATCTCAAAAAACAAACAAACAAAAACAGTTAATTTCTAGCTCATACAAATTGTTTAAGAACCTATGAGAGAGTGAAAGTTACCTTATAAGGTTTGAGTAAATTTTATTTCAAAGCTAGATCAGTACAATTTTTAAAATTTCATTTTATTATTATCATTTTTTTGAGACAGAGTCTTGCTTTATTGCTAAGGATGGAGTGCAGTGGTGAAATTTTGGCTCACTGGAAACTCCACCTCCTGTGTTCAAGTGATTCTCGTGCCTCAGCCTCCTGACAAGCTGGGATTACAGGCATGAGCCACCACACTCGGCTAATTTTTTGTATTTTTAGTAGAGATAGGGTTTCACCATGTTGGCCAAGCTGGTCTTGAACTCCTGACCTCAAGTGATCTGCTTGCCTTGGCCTCCCAAAGTGCTGAGATTACAGGCAGGAGCCACTATGCCCGGCAAATACAAGTTTTTAAAAAAGAAAATTCTCAGCCTATTTTACTTATGAATGTAGATATAAAGAAGTCTAAATCAGGCCAGGCGTGGTGGCTAACACCTGTAATCCCAGCACTTTGGGAGGCCGAGGCAGGTGGACCACCTGAGGTCAGAAGTTCCAGACCAGCCTGACCAACATGGTGA